CCGTCTCCAAAAAAAAAAAAAAAGGAAGTTTTATGAGACAGGGCTACATCTAGACAAGTGCAGCGGGGGGAAGGCCTAGAACAAGGGTATCATTGTTCAGTTTTAAATTTCAGTATTGACTTTTTTGAGTCTTGGCAAAATGGACATTTTGAAACCTTAACTTGTTAAGGAACAAAAAATGGTTTTTATTAAATACCAAATGCTCCTCCTTGTATGTATAGCAGGAGGAAACAAAGGCTTTGGACTTGAGACCACTGAATTTTAGTAACAACGATAGTTAAGAGAGGTGGGCATATATGAAGTAAGGAGGAAGGAACCCAGGGATGTCAGAGTGTGACAGACGTGCATGTGTACACACACACACACACAGAGACACAGAGAGAGAGAGTTCTGGTCTCCTTGTGCCCCTTAGGGTCAAATCTATGGGCCAAGGGATATTCAGAGGGTGAGAAACATCTCTGAGGTTTGGGAAAGTCTCAGTGCAAAAGGCTTTGGTGTGGTTCAAGAAAACCGCAAGCCCCTTAAAAAGCGCCCCCTCCAACCCAACCGCCTCCACTCATCCCGGAGCTAAAGTAACATGGTATTGCCCAAGTGATACGTTAGAAAGGGCTAAATGCCCTGTGTAGGCCGGAGATGGATTGTGCTTCCCTTACGCTTGCAACCAGTGGGACCTGTGGTGGGAGCTGCACCTGCTCTGGAGTCCTGACGGGTCCACGTGCTCCCACAGCACGGGCTTTGTGACAGAGAATCTAGCCAGGGATCAGATGAAGGATGCTCTCAGAGTATTTGCATCAACAGCAAGAAAAGATCACCAGGAGTTGTTTGACCAGACTGAGAAGAGGCCGTGAGTTTCAGCAGCCACATTCAGTGCACATCAGACAGGGTCCAGGGAATTTAAGACCAGTCACTTGTCTAGAGAACCAGTCTAGACGGGCCAGAGGGCAGAACACAGACCAGAGGCCTCTTTTTCCCTCTGCAAAGAATACACACACGTTTTCTCTCATGCCCAGGATGCCATCTCCACTGAGACAGAAAATAGGGATGAGGAAAAGGTCTGCAAGTATAAGAGACAACTTAGCATAATAATGTTTTCAGTTAGAAGAGACTGAGACGAGCTTTTGTCCATTTCTCCTTGTCCACTGCCGTCCTCATCCCTAAGTTGTGTGAATGGGACTGATAAGGAAGTATGGCTCAGTTACAGAAGATAAAGAACATTACATATTTTTGTACCTGAATTGTACAGTGTAGTTCTACTCATTTGAACCATAAAATTAGATTTTTATCAGAGGTACACAAATGGATAAAACATGAGAATATTAATCTTCTCTAGAATTTAAGTTTCTAGAGGCAAAAATGTTAACAGTTCATCTCTCTTTTCTTTTATTGTGGTAACACTTAGCCAAAAGAACAATAAATGCTGACAGTTCACCACCATGAAGAGTTGATCAAGTATATTCTGGATAATAAGTTTAAGATGAAGGATACTGTGTAAAACATTTTAGAATGATTTTTCATCCACACTGGTTAAGAAACATTTTCATATTTACAGGGACAGATTTTGATTGCCTGAAAAATTCAATTCTTTTGATTTGGTTTGGACACTCGGGGGTCGGCAACAGAGAGCAGGAAGGAGGCAGAGCCAGAACAGAACAAGAGGCCACCACGGGGTGGCGGGGGTCAAAAGGAAGCAGTGTGGAGGACTGTCCTTCTCAAGGCTTGGAGCAGAGCTTCAGGTTGGGCCCCACGACAGAGCTGGGCCAGAAGTCTGACACAGCAGGTCTGGAACACAACCTGGGATACCTGTGCGGTTGAGTTCAATCAGTCAACGGAAACGAGAAGATCATCCGTGGCTGGGAATGTTTATGGAATGCTCGTGGAATACTCAGACTACCCGCAAGTGCACAGAGTATCAAGTCAGAGTTAAACGGGAAGTTGGCTCACGGTGTGGAATCATATTAACGTCAGCATTGATGGCTTCCAAAAACAAGATAGAAAGCAATGTCTTATGCAGGAGCGCGACTGCAGCCTGGTATAAGATGGGATGCAGTACCTCATGTGGGAGCTGTGGAAGGCCGACATCCCTCTTCCTACTTCGGCTCATACTCCAGAAGTGGGTCTAGACCTCGGGATGACTTGAAAATGAGTTTCAAGGTACAGAAACAGAACTTTTGACTTTTGGGACCAGACTCTCCCAAGCTCAAATGATGACTTAATGTGGCTGGCTGATTTTTCTAAAATTGCCACAAGATTTCTGTCCCATATGCTCTTCAAGAACTTTGTGACACCCCCCCCCCCAAGAGGTGGCGTTCACTGCTTGAACCACCTAGGACCGCCCTGACAAATGCAGTGAGACAGGAGTGATGCTTGTGTGACTGTCAAGGCTAGGTCACAAAAGGCAATATTGCATCTGCCCGGTTCTCTCCTCTCTCTCTCTCTGGTTCTCTCCTCTCTCTGTGGCTTTCTCTTCTCTTTTTCATTTTTCCCTTCAAATCCAGCCACCAAGTTATGGGGTTGTGTGTAAGGTCCCAGCCAACAACCTAGCTAAGATCTCAGCCGTCAGCTGTTACCAACTGCAGACATATGAGTGAGACTTCAGATCATTCTGGCCTCCAGCCTTTGAACCACTCTAGCTGATACCAAGACGGGAAGAGATGAGCTATCCCTATTCAAGCCCTGCCCAAATCGTAGATTCGTGAATAAAATTAATGTTGCCGGCTGGGCATGGTGGCTCATGCCTGTAATTCCAGTGCTTTGGAAGGCCAAGGTGGGCAGATCACTTGAGCCCAGGGATTTGAGACCAGACTGGCCAACACGGCGAAACCCTGTTTCTACTAAAAATACAAAAATTAGCTGGGTGTTGTGCTGCACACCTTAATCCCAGCTATTGGGGAGGCTGAGGCACGAGAATCACTTGAACCCGGGAAGGCGGAGGTTGCAGTGAGCTGTGATCATGCCACCGCACTCCAGTCTGGGAAACAGAGGGAGACTCTGTCTCAAAAAAAAAAAAAAAAAGACTAAAGGCAAAAAATAGAAACAAAAGAAATATTAATATTGCCATTCTTAAGTCAGTTGAATGGTTGAGTGATTGGTGCTGCAGCACAGTAACTGAGCGGTCAGGATTCGAAAACATCCTGGAAGCTTCTATTACTTCTCCCTTAGGATGACTGCTAGGAGTGACCTTTGGAGGTGAGGCATAAGGGGCCATCTCCTTTTTCCAGGTGAAACAGGCCTGGTGGGAGGTGGTAGTGGGAGGGTATCCTGAGTGCAGGGAGGAACTACAGGATAGGCCATGGGTGAATGACTGAGTTACAGGAAACCAAACTAAGGATCCGTGGCTCCGCTTCTGCTTTCTTTCATGCTGCTTGATTTCTTTACAGCTCTGGCTTCCTGAGCCTCTATAGGAAGGAAGAGCTGGCAGAGCCGTTCCATGTGCCTGCCGTTTTGTGTGGAAATGCGTGTCTTTGGTAGGTTTCCTCGATAATGGGAAGGCAGGCTGGCTCTGTGTCAGTGGCACTTGCTGACTGGAAGGCTTCACTCTGAGGTGGCCTTTTGATTGAATACTTCCCAAATTCCAG